CCACGGTAGTCTCATTCAGGACTTTAAAAATACGAATAATTATATATTTTATATATACAGCCTTTTGCACAAATTATGAGACATTTTTATATATATAAATATACCTAACCAAATATCAAAAACACCCAAGAAATTATGGGATACCGTCGCTGATATTTTGTCTGTAACAACCTGATGCTAGGCAATCATGACAAAATATAATAAGAGATATACCATAATTTCTGGGGTGTTTTTGATATTTGGTTAGGTATATTTATATATATAAAAATGTCTCATAATTTGTGCAAAAGGCTGTATTTTATCAAAATATATATAATTATATATTTATTACTAACTATATATATTTATACATTAGAGTGCTCGCACTAAATGCGTGAAATATAAATACTACAAAATAGGTGATAAATTATACAAATTCCTTTGTTTCCTATTGTATAATCAACACTATTTAGTAGTAATTAGTACTATTTGTTTCACGCTTTAAGTGCGAGCACTCTAGTTACAATAATAACTATAATAACAAAGTTGCCTGTTCTTACAAGAGAGCCGGCAATCTGATTTTAAAATCAGCAGTGTTTCTGCTTATCGCAACCCAACTGGGAAGCTGTTCCGAAGTGTCGCACCTTTATAAAAACTAAAACTGTCCTTTAGAAAGTTCATGCCGGGCTTTGGAACAGAAAGTTTGTCCTCAGAGTATCTTAGTGGATACTGGAATGATTACCGCTTACAGTGCGAATCACAAAGCTATGACTGCACAGAAAATTTCTGGAATGAATACTTGAAAAGTAAAATGAGCGGACACACAAGAAAGCAGGATGAGAAACATAAATGAACAAACTTTGTGTTTATTCCATGTTCACAAATGATGTTATACTCTTTGCTAGCTTTTACAGGCCATTTTTTAGTGATAAACTTGTAAAACTTATTTGTAAAATTAAAAAGTTTTGATCAAATGAAAATGCACTTATAAATGACAGCTTGCTTCTGATTGGTCAACAAACAATAAACATTTGCAGAATATTTCTAGTCAGTCACAGCTTTTTGATTTTTACTGTACAAGAAATCCATTGACACCAACCTTCTCCATCCCCTGTCAATAAGATCTTGATAATCCTCACACGTCATTTTATGAGCCCACATGCCTGTCATCAGAATTACAATAAATTATCAAATTCATTA